ATACATACATACATGCATATGCATATATATATATTTATACATATATATATGTGTGTGTGCGTGCGTATATATGTGTGTGTGTGAGTTGTTTCGTCTGGGTAAATTGAAACAGTTGAAGCGGCACGCAGGGGGCTTGCCAGCAGCGGGGTTGCCTGGTGATTTCTTCAGCCGCTATGACCGGTTTCATGTCAAGTACATGAGAGAGTCTCGGAAGAGAAGAATGTCTGGCGTAGTTTTACGACTTTGCCGCAGCTTTGTTTTGCATCGTTTCCTTGATGAGTTTTCTTCGCAAGACAGCTCCGACATGAAGCCTGGCATCGCGCACATCCGTGTTGAGGATAGCCTGGCCCGTTCGCAGGAGCTGCTGCTTCTCACCTCAAAGTAGCATGGAGGGCGCAGCTTTGCAGAGAGGTACTGCCCGCTCTTGAACATTGGAAACTTGTACTCGGCGACTGCTCACGATGTACACATTGCAGAGTTATGGTACACGACAGTGTCCGTGTGGCTACAATGACCAGGGATCCCAGTTTTTGGTTGCGCCGGGCCTCATAGGAGGTTGTGATTGTGCGTTGCAAGGCACGCCATCTATGAGTCCAAAATCCTACCGAATTTTGGGGCTTCTTGGCACTCACGAATGAGATGATATGACCTGCCAGCAGAAGTGGCTGGGGAGTGCCTAGTCTCGTCGGCAAGTATTAACATACAACACTCGTGATGTGCGTGTGTGGTCAGCAGCGTCTGACATGGCTGCACTGGATTGGATGTGCTCCTAGGAAAATCTCGATCTCTGCCCTGTGGCAGTCTTGCAGACTCTGGCCTGCACTTCAGCTTTCAGTCTTCCCCGCGAGCAGAGAAGACTCATGCGTAGGCCGACATACGTCCTATTGCTACGTACCAGTAGCAGGGCGAGTATCCTGGCTGATCTGCTCTCAGCGAGGATAATGATGGATGCAGTCCTGGCATCTTCAGTCGACTACTCCCTGGACGATGGTCGAGGTGGAGACAATAGCAGTCCTGAGTCGCCTTTTTTCGGACCGTTCTGAACAGCGGCTCTGCCACAAAACACACACACACAGGTATTTGTCGCGGAGCTTGTCACGCATCTTCGGTCATTCTCTGCGTGTTGGGGCTTACCACGGCTTACCCTCACAGAGACAAGTGCTCAGACAGACACACAGACTCCGAACGAGTCCGAAGCAGGATGTCTCCAAGTTGAGCTCTTGCAGGCTAAAGGCATGACACGTGTTGCGGGATCTAGGGCGGGCTACGGTATGCTCCAAAAGAAGTCAGCACAGCTTTACACGCCGCGCATAGCATGCGAGGTTAATGCACTCCTCGCATCTCGATTCCCCAGGTCTTTTCGAGTTGGCCTCCAAGTTGGCAAGCTCTCTCGAGGAGGATGGTGTCGATGACGTGGCAGCTCTCAGAGAGGAGTGGGCTCAGGACACAGTCCACACGTACTCTTTCCTGCTTGGGCTCGATGAAAACCACTGTCACGGTGCAGACCTGAAGATATATGTACATCTTGCTGCACTTAGAACTCATTTGAGCGTTGTTGCAATGCATGTTGTCATTGTCGAGAGATCAGCAGTATCAGCTGTGAGTCTCAGGTGTATGATGTGCCCGAGAATCTGACACGCCATCCGCTGGATTGCGTGTTAGGACAATGGGGCACAGAAGTATTGTTCCACCAATACTTTCTCAGCTCTGCTTGCCGAACGTTGGATCCAGAGAAAGCCGAGCTTTTTTATGTACCAATTTATGGAACATGCCTCTTCACAAAGGACGCGTTGGACAACGATGCGGATGCGTCGGAGCGGATTTGGGATCCATTGATCAGGCACATCTTTGCCCAACCCTGGGCCCAGCGGAACAAGCTGATGGATCACATTTTTCTGTTTGCAGATGGCCAGTCTGCTCGCATTTGGGACTCGTATGACTTGGTTCGCAGTGAGGCGGTCTTCTTGATGGTGGAGTCGAAGTGTCCCACGTGGGACGAGCCCATGCGAAGATACAGCGACATCAAGCCATGCAGCTCCGGTTGGAAAGACATCATCATCCCTGGGCATACTGACCATGCGCGCCTGCAAGCGATGCGGCGGTACAACCGGCCGACCGCGCAGCGAGAATTGATCATGACATTCCATGGCAGCCACTCGGGCAACAAAGAGGTTTACGATCAGTGCGCGGTCAGAGACAAGGTTATGGAACTGGCCCAGTTTGCCGGAGTTGATGTGGGCCACTTTACCTGCATGTTCAGCGCTTGTTTAGTATATCCTATTTGTTGAACTGCAACCGGATGAGGCATTGTGTCATGACCAAGGCGGCTTCGTACCCAACTACCTGGAGATCAAGGGCAATGCCCACTTTTGCTTGATACCTGCCGGTACCTCGCCTTGGACGAACCAGCTGTACGAGAGCATCCAGTGCGGATGCATTCCTGTTATTCTGTCTGATGAGTACGAAGTCGCCTTCCAGCATCTTGTAGATTGGAGACGCATCAGCATCAAGTGGCCAGAAGCGCTGGTTGGCAAGGAACTTTACGAATTCCTTGCTTCGTTCTCACTGGAGACGATAGCAGCTATGAAGGCACGAAGTGAGAGTAGCACATAGTCCCCCTTCGTACAGCGAGCAAAGCTCACGGCGGTCACGTCAGTTACAAAAAGTCATTCACGCCGTCCATGCATGAGCCCTACTTGCTCCCTGCCTGAGGCTGATGTTGATGATCACAGCTGCTGGTTCGACTACTTCTCCACTGAGCCCGACTGTTCTCCGTATGCAGCGGTGCTCGCTGCGCTAGTCGACCGTCGAGAGCGTCGATTGCAGGTGTACAGACATTGGGAGCGCTTCTGGAATGTGCCAAAGAGCGCTGACGGACAACGCGGCCACACTACCGGTAGAACCACTCGTTTCCACACACTTGCAAATGAGACGTTCCTGATGTGAAAAGACATGAAGCAAAGTAGAATTCAAGATTCGAGCAGCGAGCATGCGAGTTGGGTCCTGGAACTTTCGGAGCAGTTGAGGATCGCACAGGTGCACCATGGTGCACCAATCACCATGTCACCAGCGCTGTCGGGCCCAGCTGAAGTCTGCACGGCAGTGACTCAAGGAGAAATCGAACGGCTCAATGAAGAAATATCTGGCCTCCGCGAGAAGCTGGAGCGCTTCCAGGTGCGACTGAACACCAACATGGCAACATCATGGGATAATCTGCTTCTCTGTTGGCAGTCTGCAGGGGTTGCTTGGCTTTTCCGTGCAGCAGATCCCTGCAGGCAGCGCTGGCGGGCGAGCGCTCGTCAGTGCAGCAAATTGAGGACATGCTGGAAAGACGTCGAGCCACACATCTCTTTTTACTCATAAATGAGCAACAATTTCTGTGGCTGTCAGAGTGCTCGTACGGGCCAATAGAGCTGCCAGGAGTTGGATAGCCATTCGCGCTTCGCTTCTGCCGAGGCAAGTTAGCTTGCGTCTGCAAGGTCGCTAGCTCTCTGCAACATAGTGGGGGTCACCACCACCCCTTCTACTGGGGGCAGGAGTGCCAACACGTGAGGTACTGTAGTAAGTGGTATGTACGAGGTCGTGAGTGAGTCGTTGTGAATGTTAAGTGATCTGTGGCTAGTGGTTGGTGGGGAGGTTTGCGTCGAACCGGGGGATGGTGGTGAGGATGTGGGTGGGGGAGTGGTGGTGAAGATGTAATCAGGGGGGCCACCACCAGCTTGAAGCTAACGCACACCACAAAACTGAGAACTCTCACAAGGTCCAGCGCCTCCAGTCAGAGCTGGAAACTGTGAAGAAGCAGGACAGGGCTCCAATGCCACCGACAGAGACCGATATGTCGCCAGTTGGTGTCAGATTTAGATGCCGAATGGTCGAGTAGAAACACTGAGCAGGAAAGGGCTTTGCAGAAAAGCAAAGCCAAAGAATCAGCAGAGCTTGGCAAGGCAGCCAGCTGCTTGCCCCCCACGACTGTGACGCCGGCACCAGCGTGTTGAAGGGCAATTCCTTTATCGCCGGGTTGCTGCTCCATGCTGAGACGGTCAGGTGCTGCAGGAGAAACAGAAGATGCAGGAGATCCTTCGGGGCAGAGTTGCATCCGAAACTCCCAGCATCGTTTGCTTGTGCAGGAGGAACTGATTCGACTCCGCTCGCAGCTCCAACATCGTGAAGCCATCCCTTCCGCAGCAACCGCATTTGCAATGGTGTTTTCGGACTTTGTGCAACAAATGCTTTGCCTGCAGAGGGTGAAGACCATCAGTTCAAGAGCCAGAGCTTTGTCCGAGAAGCATTTTGGGTCCGTGTCGCATCCTGCGCGCATATGGCTTTCCAAGAGAACTCAGGTGGTGCTCGCCGAGGAGTTGGAACATGCACGGAGAGATGCTGAAGCGAAAGAGCTGCAAATCCAGGAACCGGGTATGCATTCCTCTTCATTCCCCTTCTAGCCTGTCGTCTGTCTGGACCAAGCTAGCTTCTAGCAAGCGGCAGTGAATGAAACTTTTTCTTGTTCGCTTCATCCAACAGTCGCTCGTCATTGCCTGCGCATGCTTGGATGATTTTGGCCTGATTTACTGTATGCACTACTTGGAACGGAAGGACTTGCAATTGGTGGGTACTCGAATGGGCTCGCAGCTGATCGAAGCCTCAGAGAAACAAAGGTGCAAGTCGGCTTGCAAGCTTCACCGGGGGGACTGGTCGGGTCGCTGCTGCAGAGCTGTGAGCCACCTTGCAACATGTCGTGCAGGGCAATACCACCTACCATGTTGGTAAGCCTTGCCAGGCAAGCTGAGCTGATGCTGCGGCGGGTGCCGCAGATGGAGAGCGAGAACCAACAACTCCGCGGCGACCTCTCTACGATGCCCTTCCGCACGCTTTTCTGTGGAGGGAATTTGCTGCAAATCGAGTAGTGATACCTTGTATGGCGGACATGTGGAGATGGCCGCAACTCTTCAATTCGTACTTGTTCGCTTGCTGAGGAAAGTCTCAGAGCTAGATGAAGTCAACGAGAAATTGTCGAAACTCGAGGACCTGCACCTTCCGTTTCGAAGCAACAATCCCGCCACGCCTCCCCCCTCCCCCGCACTACAACTTCCCACCACACCTCCGCTACAGCCCACGACAGACAGACAGCGAAAGACAGAGACAGAGACAGACAGTGACAGAGACAGTGACAGAGACAGAGACATGCACAGACACAGACACAGACACACACGCACGCACGCACGCGAACTGATGAGGAAGAAGGTGCCAATGAAAGGGAATGTCAATTTTCGTAACACAGGCCACGAATCCGAGAAGTCTAAAAGCTAAGGCTCAACGACACAACCTTGATCTACCGATCTCTTGAGCTAGTGAGAGAGGCAACACTGCTTCACTTGCCTTGAATGCTGCCAAAAATCACGCAACGTGGACCGCAGAGTTGTTCCGACTAGAGACAAGTGAAATGACCTGGCTGACAAACAAGAAACCTTGCAGGTATTTCTTATGATCGCCACCCTGTGATCTGCCACACGGACTTTAACTTAGGAAACTTGATGTACTCGGAGTAGTCAGTTGGAACATTGACTGTTGATGTACTTGGAGTAGTCGCGATGGGAATATGGATTTACTTGGAGTAGTCACGGGAATATGGATGCATGGCTTCCCAACCCTCAGATCCCTAAGGTGCACCCTTCATGTGCTTGAAATAGTTGCCGAAACACTGCATGGCGGCCTCCATGGGCGACTGCACTCCGAGTACTCCCTGATGCGCTCGAGTACGCTCGAGTATGCTCGAGTACGCTCGAGTACGCTCGAGTATGCTCGAGTACTCCCGAGTACCACTAAAAACATCATGTATAGCAGCTGTCAGAAGAAGAAAACATAGACCGTAGTATTCACTACCATAAACAACAACATGTAGGATATATATTATGCAATATTGTAGGGTGTACCACACATAAACTACGTTATGGTCTATTATGGAAATATGAAAGTACGGCAATATAGATACTACAATCTAACTTGTCATATATACCGTTTTTGATACAGAATATGATACAATACATAACATAAAGTATATAACATGTGATGTGCTTAGTATTTGTTATATTGCATAACATCTAGTTATACCATATACATTATCGAACAGTGCATACATTAACATAACAAAGTACAAGGTGACATAGCATTACATACATAACATACAGTATATTCAATATTTAACACTTGCGTTGAAAAGTTCAAAACATTTCACATGTAACAGATAACGTATAACGTGTATATATATATAACCCGTAGTTTATTATATACAATATGTGCCGCAAAAGATGATATATATATATATAATTTGGTATGTTGTTTATAATGCATACTATACATTGTATAGCAAGAAAAAGCCACGCGATATTTAAGTTGCATAATGTATAGCGTAAAAGCATATAACTTATAAAGTATAGCATATGGTATGAACTACATTGCATATACATGTATTAATTACGTTGCATATGTCATATGTGGATAACATATTACATCATTTCGTCTCTCTGGTATAAAATACAAAGAAAAGGTATATACAATAGAATAATATATATATATATACATATACACACACACACACACTTAATTCTGTGTATACATATATATATATATACATACACACAAGTTTTTATAACTCTCTATATATCATGTGCATTCTCCAATGTGTATTACAAAATACCACATGATGTATCTTGCATAGTATACCTAAAATTAGATATACATCAATTGCGAGCATACCCGGTGCATACTCGCTCATACCCGACACATACTCGCTCATGCTCGACCATGCCCGCGCATACTCGCGCATTACCTGCGCATACCCGCTCATACTCGCGCATATCTCGCGCATACTCGCACATGCCCGGCGCTATCTAAGCCCCCTGACAGCCCGCTTTCCCGTCACAGTGAAACACTGTACGTACTTCTTACGGTCGCCAGCTTGTGATCTTTTGCCCGCGTCTTCGCAATATGTGGAATGGTTCGTTTGCTTCTGGGAAGAGAATGAGGAGCAGCCTACAGGAAGGGACGTTTTAACCAACCAGAGAAAATACCAACTGGGTCATAACCGGAAGAGCAAAAAACCCATCTTGGGGAGCCTAAAAGTAGAGGTTCTCGCCCCTGGCCCTCAACGCATTTGACGCTTGTGTTGTCGTCCTGTGATTGATGCCAGCACGTGCCGAACACAGATTCGATCATGTCGCTTGATCGCAATTTTCTGATCCGTCTAATGAGCTTCTGATGTCTAAGTGAAGGTGGACACATGCCACATGGAAAGTAAGATGGATATATCCCAACGTCTCAAGCTGATGCTCAACTGGCAGTCTTCAAGAAAACCTTCAAAACCGCTCTCTTCGTGACTTAAACGAAGAAAAGCGTCACTCTCTGGCGGAAGCAACGGCTCAGACTGACACAATGTCCAGGCTTCTTGTTGTTTGGGCCTGTTACTAACCTATCCAAGAGTCATCCCAGACCCCGAAGGGCATAGCAGCGAACATCATGCCTCGAGAGCATCAATCTGAGATTCAAAATTTCAACATGTGGGGAGGTGTCTCAAGAGGTTCGGTGCCCTTGCTGGTAGAAAACGCGCTGTCGCTTGCGGCCAAGAGTCACCCTGAACTTGAAACCTGGTTGAGCGATACCAGCTGTGGACGAGGCCACCCAGGTATTCTACAATGGGATACCTGCTGCGGTCAGCCTTGTCACGGGTTCTCCGCGAACAAGTTGAAATCACAGTCAGAACTAAGGTAACCCTTAGAGTTTCGGGGGCCCCACATATACACACATCGTGTTTAACTGAAGCCACGACTCAGACTGCCGCGGATAGCAACCAGAAGAGCCGGAGAGCGTATGCACGGACAGAGCGGGGTTCGACTTCATCGATGAGTCAATGACGGCTGCAAGTTGACAGCAAACGTGGTTCAACATGCTTGAAGTACGAGCAACAGTTAGCTCAGAGCCCCACAGACCTACAAACTTCGTTGACATTTCTCGAGCAGGCTTGGACATTTGTTGTCATAGCCGACTCTACGGCAGCAAACTTTTATAGTGGTAACCCGACGAAGAGAATAGAACCATGAACGGATTTTGATTTTCGTCGTTGGTCGTTGGTGGCAAAATTAAACTTGCTGCTCGCAAGAGCGCTGCTTATGTCCGCAGCTAGCTCCGTTCGCTTGTTTGTTCGCAGCTTCAGGCAGCGCCCAGCGGTGCCCAAAAAGGCTGGCTTCGTCGTCAGCGCTGTTGAAGCTATCGGTATGATATGTTGTCTAGAGATGCCGTGCGTTCATGCGATGGACTTGCCTGTCCTGACTTGAGAGACTCTGAGAGACATCCTCTGCGAAGGGCATCGAGCCGGACGAGTTTCTTTGCGCTCTCTACAACCTTCAGGGCCATGATGCCGACAGGCCTATCCGACTTCAGCCGCTGGCCTTGCAAGTGCAGAACAGGCTGCAACGGCCAAGCACAGCGACAGCATGTGCGCTTTCCGCTGCAACAAGAAATCCTGCATGCTCGGTGACGCAATGAAGCCGAGGCGGGTGCCGGCCTCACAGGTTGACCCAGAGACTGGAGGAGCTCGGGTTGAGATTGCTTCAGCCATCGACGGGGCTGTGGCTGCAGGGCTCCGGTGCTACTTTGGCGACCTTTGCCCGGGCACCGGCTATGTGGTGGCGGTGACGGCGGCACGAGGGGGCCTTGCACTCGGCGAGCGCAGGCCTTAGGTGGGCCTCAACGGCCTTCGCTCCTTTGCCCTAGTTTCTGCTAGGAATCACTTTCCTGCCGCAGTTCTGCTCAACCAAGGCCAAATCTTTGTTTGTTGTGTCCTAAAGAGATGGCCATGCTGGAGGTCCAGTCAATGACAGGTGAGACACTTGCCAGTCTTGACATGACCTCCTTCGCGTTGGAGAGTCCGACAATTCTAGGCATCAAGGAGAAGCTGCAAGAACAGCTTGGAATGTCAAGCTTTCGACAGAAACTACTGCTCGACCATGAAGTGGCCGGCAACGACGCTACTTGGAGCTCCCTTGGCTGTCCCGCCGCTATGCTCCTGGTTATTGTAGACTATGTGAACGGAGTGGAGGAACAGCTTCTCAACGCAGCAGAGGAGGGCAATGTGCACGAACTCCAACGGCTGCTGGAGACTCCCCAGCAGCCTGACTGCCAAGATGCTGTTGGTGAGACGGCCGTTTACAAAGCAAGCCTTAAAGGCGATGTTGCTATGCTCGAAATGCTGAGACGGGCGGGAGCTGACGTGAACAAAAAGGCTGTCAACGGCTCTCCCCTCACGGCTGCAGCACTTCATGGGCACCAGGAGGCAGTGCGTTACTTGCTTGCCGCACAGGCCGACACGCGGCTTGCTTCGAACGGCAAGACTGCATTGCATGTTGCTGCAGCGCTAGGCCATCTTGAGATATTGCAAATGCTTCTGGATGCGAATGCGGAGATGAACGCAACGAACTCGAACCGAGCAACTGCTCTCCATCTTGCGGCCGAGAGTGGACATTGCAGGCTTCTTGAGTACCTGCTCGATCAAGGAGCCGATAAGGATGCAGCGAACAGGGTGGGGGCAACCGCGCTTCACCTTGCCGCTGCCTTTAGGAGGGCAGAGGCTACTGAGATCTTGGCGTCGTCTGGAGCCTCCTTGATGGCCCAGAATACCAACAACGCAACGCCTCTCCATTTGGCCGCGGAGGTGGGGGATGCGGAGGTGATTCACGCGTTGCTACGGCCCCTACGGCTCTCTGCAGTGGCTCCTGCATCGCACGCGTCCGAGGTGCTCGACGTCCCGAACCGTGTTGGTGCCACAGCTCTTCATTGTGCCGCGGAAGCAGGACATTTGAACGTCGTGGAATCCTTATTGGATGCAGGTATTAGCAGAGATGCCACCAATCGGAAGAATGCTACTGCTTTACACCTGGCAGTGGGCCGACAAAGGTTAGAGGTGGTGAAATGCTTATTGAGTGCTCGCGCAAGCGTGCACATTCGGAACGAAGGTGGCTCTATACCCTTGCTGCTTGCTGTGAAGACCGAGAATCCTGATCTAGTGCAAGTCTTGCTGGAAGCCGCTTCTGACGTAGAGTCCCAGAACCTGGCAAAGGAAACCGCCAGGAGCCGCGCCTTGGACCTCGGCCTTCAAGAGACTGAGATCGGCCGGCTGCTTGTGCTGCCCCCCTAAAAGACGTCCTTCGTGAGACCCAAAGAAAGCAAGGAAGAAAAGTGTGAAATGCACCGAGCACGTGTCATGTCACGGCGCTAAGAGCCCTTCCACTGGCTAGGTTTGCATTGACTCTGCAAGTGTTCGTTCGTACCAGGCCAGCTCGACTTCCATGCCGAACTTTGCCGCACATCTTGCCAGCCATCCCTGACAACGTGATCCTAAGGATGTGAAGAGCTCCATCCGTTGAATGCCCGAATTCTGCGGTCATGTGCACGGGCGTGGGCAGTTGTGTGGCAGGAATTCTGGTCCTACTTGGGCGGAGATCGCTTGGGAAGAGCCTTGCGCCCGTTCCCGAGTCCCGAGCGCGAGGCTTGCTGTCGCAGTGCACGATGGGCCGGTGTCCTGCAAAAAAGGAGCTTCTGCTGGAGCTCTCAAGCGAGGGCTGCCGGCGCACAGAGCTTGCGTCGCCTCCGGTGCAGCTGGAGGGGTTGAGGCCCAACACCGAGTCACTCGGCCCTAGCTGTACCGTTTGTATAAACGTCGCCCTTGCGACTGGACTTTCCGACTTTCGCAAGGTATGCTGTGGCAGTGAGCACACTCTGCAATCGTCAGCTGGTGCCGAAGTTCCTCAGAGCGCACAGCCAACGAGATCCAGCGCTGTTAGCGATGGGGCTTATATTGTCATTGAGCCCAGGCTGTCCTTCGTGACGCCGCAGGAAGACTTGAGTTCTGGTGCGATGACTTCCTTAACAGCTGCCATGAAAGACTTGGGGAGCATCAAAGAGCACCTTGGTTGTACCTGTGCTTCTCACAAGCTGACATCTTCACACGTGACCGCGATGGTACTTCGAGGTCTCTTGGTGCCATCCATGCCGGCGCGGCCAATGCCGAGGTGCTCCGACACCTCGGAGCACTGCAGGACAGCTGGGCCGCTCGGCAGAGCTTGCCTGTTGCTGTCCACCACCGGAGCCGCCGGTTGCAGAATTGAACTTGTTTGAAGCATCTGGAGATTGCGTGCGAAGAATCAGAAGCTTCCGAGTCATAGTTTGACGGATACCAATTAAAGCGAAGATAAACATAAAAAAAGGGCTTGACTGCTGATGCTCTCGCAGCTGAGGCCTCGCTGCAGCTCTCCGGCGTCACTGAAGAGCTGAAGAAGCTCATGGACTCCAATGCCCAAATGAAAAAGGACATTTCCATGGAGTTTAAGCCAGTGCTTTCTGGCAGCAAGTGCCCGTTGCTGCATGACTCTGCTGTGTACCGCAGCACTGCAGCCTGGTTGTTGCTGAGTTGTGGCCATTTCCGAGGCTTTCAGAGCTGCAGGGCATCCATCACACTCTCTCGACGCTGATCTTCGTTTGTAGGTTCGAGGCCATCGGGGGATGGATGCATATGTCCTATGTGCCACTGAGGACGTCTTTGTGATGAGACACGGAAGGCTCAAGGCAAGACCCTTGCCTGCATCGTCTAAGCTTATCCCCATGCCTCGCCTGCACGAGGACTGTGACAAGCAAATGAATCGCGGCTGTGTATGGTTCTTGCCCTCGAATTCGCTGCCTGCGCTTCAACAAGAAGCCGATCTGTGGCAGTCCGCGGTGAAGCTGTGCCAGAAAATGCAGCCGTACTGCCCCAGAGTACGTTCTTGTCACCTGTTGCACGAGCTTTTGGCCGCTGCACTTAGCTAGTTTATTGGAGCAAAGCCATTGCGAAATGCGCAGGGGAACTCCGTGTTAATAGGTCACTGTAAGGTGAGCATCGAGTGGGGATGTGGCACGGTGATCGAACAAGATAATCGTTTTGGAGCAAAAATGTCAAGTGATAATGCGCCGAGCCTAGCCCAGACTGATGCCTCCTTCGGCAGCTCCTTAAAGGGAGCTTGTACATGATGCCGTCATCGAAGTGTTGCTGCCAGACTCCTGCTTCAGTGACCGGTGACGCCATGCAAAAGTTTTGGCACAGACCCCATGACTGCAGCTTCGTCCTGAAGCGACATGCTTCGTCTACAACGTGTCACGCTCAGTTTCGGAATGGGTTGTTGAGTTTATGCCGCTTAGGCTTCTTCCAAAAGTTTCTGTCCTAACATCGGTGTCGCACTTGTCGCAGCAATGGGACTGCATGGGCTAGAGCATAGGGGAGTTGTGAAGGAGTGATGTCTATAACCTTGACATAAGATGATCGTCGTCACAGCAGTGCTGACAATGGCTAGTTAGTTAGTCGTCGCAAGTGCTGTAGGTAGATAAGTCATGTTGCAGTGCGTTCTTCGTTAGTGCTGGTACTAGTAATGAGCGATATTGATGACAGCTGCACAAGTTGTAGTAGCCTTCGGCTATCAAGCAGTAATTCCATTTTGCCTTTGGGGGTGCGGATGGCCCTGCCATGACATCATCCTAAAGAACATGTCTGCACTTCGCGGTGCGTTGCAGTCGCTTGGACAGTTGCCTCCAGGAAGTTAGACTACGGTCCATAGCAGAAGCATGGAGAACCGAACCACCAGCGACGCCTCCTATTGATGGTCGTACAAGTCATCATCAACAACATCATCATCGTCATCATCATAAAATGATGACTGTAATGCGGCGGAAGATCGAATCAAGGAGCCAACACGAGCCAGCGTTTCTTCCTCATGAACTCGGTGTGTTGAATGGTCGGGCGCTGACAGGGGCACGGACACGGGGGAGACGTCGGTCTTGGCTAAGCCTCAAGGGTTCAGACGGGAGATGGAGGACAACCATGCTACAGATTTCGTGGGGAGACCAGCTGCAAGCGATGAGCTTCCAGAGTGCCCTAACTAAGCACTAGGAAAGGTTGCCAGTCCGTCACCAATCCAAAACAAGCGCGTTGGCACGAAAGCTTTGCAACGGATGGATGTCAAGCAATAGCTCCAAAGGTTCCCTTTGCCACGACAGTGAGGCGTGTGTTGGTATATACATATACCGTGGCCACCAGTTAATTACCTTTCGCGAGGAGCTTGTTGCATTCTATGAGCGCCGCAATGTTCGTATGTCTCAAGCAAAATTAGTCAAGCTTAGACGTGAAGAAGGAATATGTGGCAGAAGACGCATCGTCAGAGGCTTTGGCTGTGTGTTTTGGTGTTGTGCTAAACTTCGCTTGTATGGGAGCAGGTAAAACAACCGGTGGTTGAAGGGGTTTGCCTGGAGAGTCAGGATTCGCAAATTCGCACATCCTTCAGGAAGTTTGAGGGTACACAAGAAGTCCCAAGTATTCTTAGCGTCAGCTCCACGTGTCGCTCTGCATGGCGGTGGCTCCTGCATGTTTCGGAAGTGTGAGCTGACGTGTTTGCGTGGTTATGGGAGCTTTTATTATAAGCGGGCTCGGGACTAAGTGGTCCAAGTGCCCTCAATCACTGCAGTGAAAGCTTACAACAACGGATGGGGGCTGTAACAGGAGCGAAACGCCGAGTCTTTTTTCGGGTTATCCCTGTGGCCAAACAGGATGAGCTCCCTGACGCTGACACCCTGCGTATTCTGATCCTTACTGACACCCATGTGCCATTGCTGCACTTGATGAGAGATCTCGCCAGTGCGGAAGTGCGGAGGGTGATAGGGAACAACACCTCGAATTATCGATTTCGCTTCAGGTCGGCTTCAATGAGAAAGACAAGGTGAGCCTGACACAATTAGCCTCTGCAGTTTCCGATCGTTGCTCTTGAGGTTCGTGGGAAAGACTCCTTGGAGACACTTGAGGATGAAGTAGTACCTCCCGGCCAAGTGCCTGACCCGTCATCCGTCATGCTGAGAGGAAGCTCTGCAGATCGGAAAGAATGGCCGAGCAGATCTCATTCTGCACGGTGATTACCTAAGCTTCTCGTGAGAGGAGGAGCTTGTTCAGTATAGGCGGCAACAACTTCAGCTGCACGACGCTGCGTGCAGGTGGGGACCTGTTCCATGAGAACAAGCCATCCAGGCCAGCTGCCACCGGGCTTTGCAGACTCCGTCTGCTGTGACAAGCATGCCCTGCTGTCAAGGGGATGTCTCTTCAGAACCATGAACCTTCTGAAACAGTACACGATGGGTTCTGGAGAGGCCTCGCGGGTTGTGGAGTATTGCAAGTTGGGTCTCCGGAGAGTCTGTTCAGGTGGCCTTCGAGGCAACTCCCAGAGCTTGGAACGGCTTGGAAGAAGCAAAGTGTCCTGTTGTGGAATTGCTGTGCGGTCGTAGGTGGTCAGCGATCCGGCCTGCTTCGGCACCGGCCAGGTCAACTACAAGGAAGCCATGGCAAGGCTTGTTTTTTCTGAAGCATCAATGCATGTAATGCAGGACCCCAACTTGAACGTCGAGTGCCCTTTGTCCTGCTGGCGTGCTTGAACTTAGCAGCTTTGCACTCTCGTTGTCATGCCGGTTCAGCTGCTGCTAAGCATGGCTTTGACGCCAGCTTCATGATTCACGGAAATCATGACGACCCTGGCGGAGAGAGCAATCTCTGTGCAGCGAACATCTTGGAGGCCCCGCACGGGGCCCAGCTCACCACCTGGTGCTGACCCTGGTTCATAGGTGGGCGGCCTGTGCAACTACTTCGGGCGCCATGAAGACCTCGAGGACCACATCCAGTCGAGCGGCCGACAGTTTATGGAACCTGCCATGCACGCATGAAGGACATTATCATCAGGCCAATCTTGCTGGTCAAGGCAGGACGGGATCAGCTCTCGGAACCCTGAGCCACCTCAGCCGGAAGAAGAGGGCTGACAAATGAAAATGCGACCGTCACGAAGCACCGAGTGACCAGCAGAGAAAGAAGACAACTCATCAGACAGCTCTTGCCTCCAAATCCTTCCGGGTCATTTCGGCAGAGCTGTGTGCCGGCGAGTACTGGGGGAAGCATCCGGAGAGCTCCTGACTGATTATATTTTCTGTAACAGCATCCCGATGTTGAACCACTTTCTCACGTCTCCTCACAGAACAAATGGGAGGCCCATAGGCCGGGGGACTTCACGAGCATGGCTGGGAGTGAGTTTGAAGCTCGGAGGGCAAGACCCGAGTGGCGATCTACGGCCTTGGCAACATCCGAGATGAGCGGCTGCATAGAGCTTTCCAGGTGCCACCCTGCGCCGCTTGCTTTTGTACGTGGCCGGTGCTTTAAGTGCGTCAGGCGAAAAAGGTCCGCTTCGAGGCGGGAGGTAGAAGTCTGTCGCTACACTGCATTTCTACCTTTGAACTGTCTAGGTCAGCACCGCAAAAATGGTGCAGTGTGTTGCCACGCATGTTTCATGCTCCAGACTCCCGTGGACACCGAGAAGTGGTTCCACGTGATGATCCTGCACCAGAACAGGTGATGGAAGCGTTGGGAGCAGGGGAGGGACCGGACTCCACACGACAACTCGACAGAGCGAATGTCTGTCTGTGGTTCTTTATTTTGTTTGAGGCACAAGGGAAACAAAGGTGCGGTTCCCAGCAAGGCGTCGGAGCCTCAAAGCTGTTGGCTCTCTCTGACTGGCGCCCCTTTGGGGTTCGTTCAAGTCAGGTGCATCCACGAGGAGATGCTCCCTTCCTTCTTGGATCTGGCAGGGAGTCCCAGATGAGTGGATCGCTGAGCTCGTGAGCTTCTGCTCGAGGTCATCTGGGGCCACGAACACGACTGCCAGGTGAAGCCACAGGAGACGCCGACGCGATTTGCGTTGAATAGCATGGTCGTGTGCACATCGCACCGTGGCGGGAGCGGACTCCTGAGCCAGGAGTCGCTGCGTGGAGAGTTCTATGTGATGCAGCCTGGCTCTTCTGCTCAGTGCTCAGACTCCCTGCGTTCAGCTGGTCCTGCACCTCACAGCATTGCGAGGTGGCCACGTCGCTGTCTCCACAAGAAGCAGGGTTGAAGCACGTCGCCTTGATTGACGTCAAGGAGGGCGTGTTCAGGCCAGGGATAGTTGAACATTGAGACTGGTATCCTGTGCATGGTTCTGCAGGTGCAATCCAGTACCGCTTTGGACAGTGAGACCGTTGGCTGCGGACTGAGCTCCATGGTGTCCGACTACGTGGAGTTGAGAAACCGCCCAGGTGATGCGAGACATCGCTGCTCTGACTGGTCTTGACTGGTACAGTGGCGAAAAACTCTGCTCCGCAGGGAGTGGCGAAAAATGCCAGGTGCTCTCCGAGACAGGCCTCTTGAAGACAGACACCCAGGCTCACTGCTCTCCTCGAAGGGAGTCTCCGTTCTTCCGTTCTGGCAGCGGCAAGGGTGTTGGGGCACATGCTGTGTATGTTTGTGAGCTGCATCCCTGGTAGCCTGTGGTATCGAGATCTGAGCATCAGGATCACCCAAATGGATAACTTGCGAGCATGAAGTCGTTCGAACGAGCGCGGACGTAGTCTCACCACCAGCAGAAGCAGAAGCAGCGAAGCATAGCGAAGCCGAAATGCCGCATCTCATTGCTTGAGCTGCCTTTGGCGACGTGGATCATGGGAACCGGAAGGAAAGACTTTCTCTTTGCGTTTCAGTGTGTCATGAACGGTGATCGGTGCTGCATGCAGGAGTTGGAATGATTGGCGGAGCCGGCGCAATTCGATCAGTACAGTACAGCCAATACAGCAACTTGAGCATTCTGCGGCATACTGGGCAGAAGCTTGAGTTGGACAGGAAGCCGAAGCAGCTTGCTGTGGTCATGGGCTGCCTGACCCCTGGTTGAGTCGAAATTTGACATGGCTTCGTTCGCTTCGTGCCGCGAAACGAGAGTGATGCTTTGGCAGTGAAATGCAGCCCGAGGTGCCGCTGGCCTTCTCTTCGCCTTCTGGTGTGCATCTTGGGATCTGAGATCAGAAGCCGCAAGGGCGGGGTGCAGCAAGTCCGGCCGAGGCATCCGCGAGAGGGCTCCCAAAGCACCGTCGAAGAAGGTCACTATCACTGCCGGAGCTTCGTATCAGGCTTCAGTGTTTTCAAATGTGCCAGGTGGGTCGCCGAAAGCGGAACTCGTTCCTCTAGCGAGAATGCCATCACCTCTGCAAGTTCAAAGGCACCAATGTCCGTCGATCAACTGACGAGTTGGCACACTGTGTGTTGATGGAGTCAGTCGGTCGTCAGTTGCTCATGTCTCAGGCTTCCCTCGCAACCCTCGCCTGTGCTGCTACGTGACATCCCGCAGGAGCACTGATCGGCATGGTTTCCCAACTCTGCCCCTACCCAAATTGTGCCGGCTGCCTGTCTGCCAAGTGCATGTTGCCCGCCCGTAAGGAGACCACACCTCCGGCAATGCAGTCGCCATCGCCGTCGCAACAACGTCTGGATCTTCGAGACTGGCCAAGCCTGGATGGCTGCCAGGCCTGGCGCCTTGCATGGGCCAGCTGAGTCGATCAATTCAGGGGCGGACAACAGGAACCGAATGCGGCAGTGTCTTGGAGCCTGAAGTCCTCCGAAAGATCCTCTAGCTCGAGGCGATGCTGTCAGCACCTGCTCTGTCGTAACCTTCCCTCCGCCAGAACTCCAACATCGTGGGGGCTCGTACATGTGGTTTCATCGCGAGATGTCACTGGGCTGTCAGGCTGCCAGGAAGGATGCCAGCTCTCGGCCGGGCAGGAGCCATCCATTGTGATGTTCCGCCGTGAGTGGTGTGGCAGTGAGAAGTGCAGGCCTTGTCTGCCTCGTGCACCACAGTACCCTTACAGGACCCATTGCTTTACAAGAAATCAGATCATCAGCGGCCGCCTTCCGTTGACCGCAGGACCAAGGAAGTCGAAAACATCATCCTCGGGGAGCGTGCTGTTGCCGCTGCCACCGGAGTGGTAGACGAAGCCCTCTGCCCTTTGACTGCACCTGCAGACGCGGCACATCCCTGAACGTCTCCAAAATGGAGCGAGGTCACGGTTGCCAAAACATCCAGACAGCTCAGGTGATGGCTGGCACCTATTCGGAGCAGCAAGTCTGCAAGATGTATTTTGTTCGAAGCAGTGCCGATGGAGCGCTACCTGCACTGCCAGTGTGAGCGCACCAGTGTGCAGGATATGACATGGTGCCGTCGTGCACTGACGGGCTCGGTGGGGAATCAGCAACCAGACGGCAAGGTCCGGGAGCTACATTTAGCTGCTTTAACTTGTGTAGCTTCTAGCTTTAAGTATGGTGTGGGTCCACCTGCAGGAATATGTGCGTGGCTGCTTTAATGTAAAGTTGATTATCGAGTCTAAAGCAGCAATAGCCGCCATGCCATGGCAGACGTGGACCTGGGGGCAATGTGCAGCCCTGCGAAATAACAAAAGTTGCAAGCTTACTTGTGGCAAGTTCCTGCAAGCATTTCAACAGGCATAGCGGCATAACGGGAGAGGAAAACATGAGTAGTCACCTTCAGGCAAAAGGTTAAGCCGATAGATGCAAGAGGCGAGCACAAACGACAAAAATAATACTAGATCTTGTCGGAAAGGAATCATTATTGATTTGAAGATGATCGCTCCGGCTAGAACTGAACTGCGGCAGCAGCGTGGAAATCTTAAGAGGGCACCGGCCATGTCAACTTTAGCATTGCCAGAGTGCATTTGCAGCAGAAGGCTTTGAACTCGTGTCACCTGGAAGGCCATTGGCTTGTCCTATGGAATCGAGGAAAGAGATCTCTGGAGTGAGCTGGCGACTTGGCGCGAACGAGGAATGGCCGAAGTTGGAGGTGTCTACAAAGATGGGAAGATGTGCAGCCTGAACCAAAGCAGTCCTTGCTTGGGCTGAGACAGTGTTGCAGTTCGACTCGCTTGTTTGTGCCAGTGCCTTTGCAAAGCAAGGTCAGCAACGTCTACAAGGCATCAACATGACGGGGCTGCCACTGTGATCCACACGAAGCCTTATCCAATACAAGTTGACAGGTTCCTCCACGACTTTACGATTGCTTCCAAAATCCCCAGGCCGCAACTGCACAGCAAATTTCAAGCCTGGCTTCGACCTGCGTACAGGCTTCGCCACCCCTGCAGGGCACTGCCCCAAACGGCACCGGCTCTTGTCACGGAGTTGGTGGGCACTGCCCCCTGGCCTTTGAGATTCTCGGAGCGCGCCCAAATCGTTGCACAGACTGTACGTCTGTGAGGGATCCGTGATCGTAGGACCGCAACAAGCCAGCAGATCCCCGTCTATGAGGATGTAAATTGCATCCAGAACTACAGCTGGAGAGCTATGGAACATCCATGGGCTTTTAGCAGGACACGAAAAAGCAAATCGATTTTCCACTTGGTTGTGAGCATGTTGGAAGAGTTCACTGGCATTGTCATATTATCGTACTAGAAGCCAAGCGATGCAACTTTTGGGACCACTACGAGCACGACCATGAGTTGTTGCCGTCACTGAGGGCCTGGCGCTTCAGTAGGTTGTTCGGCTCATGATTTTCGGGTGCTTCAACTTGAACGTGTTCCATTCTTCGGGTGAAACGTGGCGAAAGCTTTCAAGCCTGTTCATGGAGAATGCATTGCATCCTGGATTCGATGCACGGCAAGAGGCATAATGCCTTGGCAGTTTGAGTTTATGCAAGCCGTGGTATGAGATCGCACTGGTTTTTCAAGAATCAGAGGGAAGAATCTGAGGGAAAGCGGAGTATTAGGATGGCCAGCCCGGGCAACCCGAATGAGCACAATGGTTTCCTTGTTCCACCATGTTGCAGTGAGCCCGAATGCACACGCTGACACAAATCATTACAGGCGTCCCTAAAATTTCTTCGTGCAGCTTGGTTCATGCAGGTTCATGTCCTCACGGGCCAGTGTTGAAAATTGGCAAGCATGCTGCTGAAGCCGCTCAGGTTATGAGACACCTTACCAAGCTTTCCAGATTTGCCTGGGTCCCGAGAAGGCAAGCCACGGAGGGCGCAACTACGATCCCTGCATACACTGAGAAGGGTTGATTTCTGATTCGCAGCCTCGTCCCAATAATAGTAATACTCAAAATAAGAAGAAATTAATCATCACAGTTATACAAAAATTAGTATTCATAGTCATATAGAAGCATTCAAGGAGCCCTTGGAGCTGCACCTGAGAGATCGCCATGCTCTCTCCGTACACCTGAAGATCGACGTGGAAGGTGCCCCGATCCGCCGATCCTATCGGACAGTACGGCAAGGAGACATGTCCGCTTCTTATGATGTAAGCTAAGAGTTGAAGAAGCTCTCATGCTGTCTGAGTCTGCGACAAACTCACAAGAGTGGCCGGTTCTGGAATGCAGTCTTGGCGACCACGTTGTTGGCACAGATGCACCTGTGCAGGTTCGGAGTGGGAAATTCTGGAGTGGTTGCTGGCGAACCCACGAGAGATGGACAAAATCCGCACCCTCGACATGGAGGTGCAGGAGGGAGGGTGTCCTGACAATGTCTTTGCCAGCCTATCTCTATGGGGTAACCTACTACGCCAGCGTGGACCCCGAAGCAGTCCCAAAGCAATGAAGAGGACACCTAACAGTCCAAGATAGTCCAAACTTTACATGCCCAAGAACCATTGCTTGAGCACCCCTGAAGTTCCCAAGACAAAACACGATTTCGGGAGGCGGAATTCGCAGAACTGCGGCGGGGAGACGATGTGCAATCACCAAGATACGAATGGTACTGTGCACCCGCCGTCAAAAACACACCAACACCGACACTTAACTGTGGCGCCAGCACGACATCTACGTTGGGGAGTGCCAAAGCAAACATTGGGTTTCTTTACGCGGGAGCTGGACTGTGGCGAGAAGCCGATGTCAGTCGTCCCTATCCTCTGACATAGTGGGCGACGCCTAATCCACTTGCTGCGCTTGAGACCCTCAACATCAAAACCTCATGCTTGGAAACAAGGAAAACTTTCTATGAAACGCTACAATAACCCCTGAGTCGGTCCACATCGCCCCCCCAGTAGCTCTGATAGATTTGCCCCCCATTGAATGAATACTGCGGCGACCATGATGGCTTCCGACAAGTTCATGAAGAGGTGCACCTGGGTTGGAGCGTGGAGTCCTCCCGTGGGTTGGCACGCACCAAGCTCTCTCCGCAGGGCCGGGTGGCCAAGGAGAGGAAACGATTCCTGCCGGGTTAGCCTACAGGTTCAGTATTCGTTGAGGGTGATGTTTGATTGTGTCGGAGGACATCGAAACATTGGAGCATCTGGGCAACTACTTGCTGTGCACGGGTTCCTCCATGGAGGTTCTCTTTGCATTGTGCAAAGTTACAGCTGTACATCTGTTTGCCAAGTAACAGCGACATCGGTACTCGTGCGGTGAAATGCGATGGACATGGAGGTTCTTGCGGAGGAGTGGGTGAAGTGGCCCCACGGCGGGTGGCTTGGACTATAACCAGCAAGACTTCGATAGACATGCAAGTCTGTAGATAAGGCGTGCCGAGCCTTTGAACTCATCTGAGGAATTGCAAAAACTGTCCAGAGCCGCTGGCTCATGCTGCCGGGGGCTTCCCAGTGATCCAATTCGAAGCTAGGCCGCAAAGCAACTAGGTGGTCTCAAGAGGGTACATGCGCTCCAAGCTCCTGCCGCACGTGCAAGATTGATCTCACAACGAGCAAGAACATTACGTTGCCACGACAAATTGAACTTCGACCCCAAACGTGCTTCTGTGACCGAGCAGCGCAGGCGATCAGCTTTGTTCATCCAGCATTGCTTGGATCCTTTGCGGCATGCCTTCCCATTTTGGCGCGACCGTGACCACCTGTCTGGAACTCGGCCACTGCCTACCAAGGAAAGCCTATTCCCAAGACTCCCTTCGAGCCCGAGCTTCCAAGCCGCAGCGTCCCGGTGCAGTGGCCGAGCCTCAGCCCCTGTGAAAAGACGCACGGTGGCAAAAATGGAGCACTTTGCTGCAGGCGTTTATTGATTGCTGCGCGACTAAGGACTTTCACGACCCTCAGCTCACGACCGGGTCGGCTCCCTCCTCAGTTCCGGAAGAGGCATAGGCACAGCAGGCACTGATGTTGACGAGTAGAGCTTTGCCGAGCTTTTCTGTGTCATGGAGGCCGTGTTTACCGAATCCGGAACCCTGGCCGTACGTGAAGCGCAGCGAGAAGCTCATCAAACTGGGTGAGCGCGCTGTGAAGGCGGCGACCGGTGTCGTGCAGGAAGAACTATGCGGAGGATGGTACATGTTCGGAGACTCTTGGCTTTGATCGCAGGTCAGAAGCTCGGTGTTGCTTCCTATGGTTTGCTCCCAAGGACATGACATGGTGCTTGAAAGCCCTCCAGACGAAATGGGGCACCGAACAGGAGGATGGTGGCGTGATCGGCCTGTCGTACGGCATTGAGCAGCGAGATCTGTGGAGCGAGAAGATGAGCAACCTGTACCGGGTGCCAACGCGCCTCTACGACTGCTTCCAGCGGCCTGATGACTCCCCGACGCTGGGGGGCAAAGCTCCGAATGCCACCGGCAAGTGCGCTGAGGATGGAGATCACTGCTACGAAACTCCGTACCAGGTCTTTCAGATCTGCTCCGGGCCAGAGACTGACTCAATTCAGGGCAGAAGGTACGAGTCGCTCGAGTCTCACTTACAGGATCGCAAGCGCCTCTCCGTCCATCTGAAGATTGACACCGAAGGTTCGGAGTGGGAGGTACTGGCCTGGCTTCTCAGTTCGCCAGAGGACATGAACAAAATTCGTACCTTGGATATGGAAGTGCACTTGGGCTGGGTGGCCGACTCTGCACGACGAAGCAGCGCTCGAGCTTCGATGTCCTCCACAGCCCGCCTTGATTACGACATCCGATTGCTCGAGAACCTTGGAAAGTTCTTCCGGTGCACTGGATCATCGATGGAAGTCTTGGCTGAGGGATGGGGGAATGATGGCCGTGGAGCGTGCTGGGCTGAGTTGTTCGCGGAAGGATGATCTGTATCTCTCCCTCTCTCTCTCTCTCTCTCTCTCTCTTCTCGTTTGTGGGGTGCACCAACGAACAGATACGGCTCCTGCTGTTCTTGATATCGTCTCAGGAAATGCGGGGGTGTGTGCCAGGAGCCGGCAGCATACGCTGCGGGAGGTTTCCCGGTCAGTCAGTTTGCCATCAGTGTCTCGGCACTTGTGCATTTGCATGGACTCCTCCTCCTCCTGACTTGCCCGGAGTGACATGTTGAATTCCAGCTTTTGACAGCCTTGAGCCGCCTATGAGGCTTCGTCCATCCGGATCTGGTGCTGTGAAGAGGCAACATCCCCTCAGCAACCGCTTGCAGTGCCGGTGAATGGGCGCGGCAGGCGCAATATCCGGGACTGCTCAATGAAATGCTTTCACGAAAGGTCTTTTGAAAGAGTTTTTCCTGACTGACGGGTAGCTGCAGATGAGACATCTGTCACAGGCTGTCAAGGTCAAGGTCATCGAGGAACATCTGCCCAAAATGCAGTGGCACCTCTACACTTCGACACGATCCTGTGCGCAACTCTCAGCAGCTCGAATCTGGCCGAGTTCCCTAGGAGACAATGAGAACATGAAGGGTCCTGCATCCTCGTCACCGTGTCAATCAGCATCGCCATCGTGCAGGTTGCACGCTAGAGATGCGTTTCACCACAGGAGCAGGAGGCATGTCAGACAAAGGCTCTCTGCTAGCCGCAAGTCCAACCGAAACAAGACTGACTCAGCAGCCCTCGTGCATTTCGATGATGTGGTTGCTAGCGGTTTTGATTTGGGCTGGGCAGGCCATCTGGAATGCACTCTCCGGTGAGGTCGACTCGATGATAGCTCAAGGTAGCCGTCCTTTGTGCGAGCTCATGTTTCCTGCAAGCCAGATGCAAATTGCTCGGCCTTTAGGTGAGGAAGAAATTCAGAGGCGCAAGAAGGAGTTGGAGGCCTGAGCTGCGCGGCATGAGTTCTGCTGTGCTTGAGGCCGTGTGTCTTTTGAGGCTCGCGGAAAGTTTGGCCCCAAGAAGCTGGAGGCTGGACTGTGGTTCTGTCTCTCCGATGGCACGGCTCGAGCTTCAAAGTGCGTGGCGATGAGATCTGCAAGCAGGCAGGCTCTGCAGAGGAGTCTAGACATCTCGAGGTTCGTAGAACACTCCAGACGTCCTTTCTCGGGGCAGATCTGCACAGATCTTTCTAGGATTCCTCACCACGGCCACCGGCCACCATGGTATCTGCGGTAGGGCTTCTTTCGCTGGCAATTGGCACCTTGCTTGGGTTGCTCTTCGTCTTGGTGGCAGGCCTCGGGAAGCTTCTTCCGGGCCACCCGATGCACGGCGTGCTGAGCGCCACCTTCGAGAAAGTGATTGGCCCCTTCTTCGGCCTTGGAACCGCCTCTGCCAGACGTCTCCGGCTGCTCATCGGTGCCGCGGAGTTCAGTGCAGGCCTGGTCTTCCTTCTGGTCTTCTGGGGAGAGCTGGTCCCGGGCCTCTCTCCAAAGACGAAGCCCGAGGCTGATGCCTTGCTTCTTTGTGCTGTTATGGGAATGATCAACATCATGGCGGGAGCTCTGGTTTTCCATTGGCTGGTCGACCAGGAGGTGAAGAAGATCCTTCCCTACTTCGTTTTCCTCTTCCTTCTCAGCGGACTCCTGGCTGAGCGACTGCAGGTCACCGACTTCGAAGCGCTGTCCGAGAACTGGGTGCGCTTTCTCTACACCTTCCCGTGCGTTTGCGTGGCTGGATTGATGCTCTCGCTGGCACTTGCCGCAAAGTGCGGCACGAGCCTTGCAGAGATTCAAAAGCAGAATGAAGACATTGAGAAGATGAGAGAGCAGCTGCTGTCGAAGTAGAAGTTGGGAAGACGATCATTGCGAAACAAGCGCAGTGGGCGTGCACGGGGAGCTCTTGCAAGCGTCCCTCTGCGGTTTTTCCTGCACTGCACTGCAGGTGCCAGAGCTTCCGTTGGTGCGACTTCGAGTGGAACATTCGGGGCCCACGCCTCGGGTTTGTGACGGTAACGGTAAATGGAATCGAGAAGCGTGTCGTAGGACAGTCCGAGGTTCGACACCATCTCCGGCGCAACCTTCGGCAACCAATTTGTGGGCCGGGTAGCGAACCCGGATGAAGCGTCGGGCCTAGAGGCAGCTGAGTGGCGGCATCACTTCGCTCGGGCATCGCTAGGGACAGATATTTGATAAGGTGCTGCTTTTCCATCGGCGTGCCGGCGGTGGTGCAACAGGAAGCCGAAAGGACGGAGATGGAGTCTGAGTTCAAGGGCTGCAAAGAGGCAAAGAGCAAGTTCTTCGCAGGTCCAAGGCCTCGGCGACATCCTCGAAATTGAGGAAAACACAATGCCGGGCGACGATGGTGTTAAGATTCAGGCCCAGACCCGTCGCGTCGCTAAGTGCTTCTCAGCTACAATATAGAACCTGGAATGTTTGGAGGACATCATCTACAAGTACATAGAAGGTGAGCAGAACCTCCAGGCATGGTGTGAACCAAGTCTGCTGCTTTTCATCAAGAGCTTTGGCACTGGGTGAGGTTCTTCCTGAACCAGATCTGAACGACGCCGTGCCGCACCCAGTTCACAGTGCAGACTCTCAAGTCAAGATGCATCGAGTTCTTCGACGGCCTTCGCCTGAAGCATGCTCAGCTGTTCTGCGACATGTTTCTGAGATGTGCTTGTGTTGATACTTCTTTTGTAGGTGAGGCGATGGGAAAAGCCCGTCCTCAACAGCAACCCGCCCTGTCTCCCACAGCCTCTATCTGTAGATCGATATATCTACATGGTACCCCCCCCCCCCCCCCCCNNCAGGCATGATCTGTCAACGGATGGGTGGCAATCACCTCTTCTAATTTCAATTCCGAAGTTTACAAAATTTCGCCCCTGGCTTTTCAGAATTTCCAAAATTTCCAACAGTTCCAAAAATTTTCAAAATTTCCCATCCCTACCTTTCCGAAATTTGCAAAAATTCCAAAATTTCCCAAATTCCAAGATTTCCAAAATTCTCCCCCTAATGTTTAGGACCGACTCTGCGAAATAGGGTCTAGATTTTTGGAAATGTTGGAAACTTTGGAAATTTCGGATATTTTGGAGATTTCGGAAATTTTGGAATTTTTGAAATTTTTGGAAATTTTGGAATTCTTGGAAACTTCTACAATATTT